ATACCATTTGCTTGTCCTTCATAATTTGAAAGTGAAACAACTATTGAACTCATATAGTCATTTTACAGTATTTGCAGGCATGTGTGTTAGTCATGGACGCCTTTGGAAGCGTTTTGAGTTCCAACAACATATTTTTGTCATCATTGTAATGAAACGACAAGGTAGTCGTTATGATAATTTCCCTTTTGTTTTGCAGTTTTGATGTTTTGAAACAAAACTTTTTGGTGTTTATAATATTTTTAAGCCTTTGTTTGTCTCCTTTTTTATAACTCTTTATTTTTTCTCAAACTCTTGTCGATCACTTATTCATATAATAAAATATTTTGCATGTAAATTTAAAGTCTTTTCATATTTTTTAATCACATATTATTCAAAAAAATCCCAATTCAAAAAATTACTTTTCCCCAAAAACTCTTTAAAAAGGGAGACAAACAGAGCCTAAATGAGATATGTTGATTCGATATGGTGTATATGTTGACAGTATATAATCTATGTGGTTTTAGCGTAATAAAACAAGTAGATATAACTATGATTTTATGAATGAATATTGATCGCTTGTCCTTCACCATTCAAAGAAAGTGAAGTTAGTCACTTTATAGTATTTATAGGCATGTGTATTGATCGTGGACACCTTTGGAAGCATTTTTATGTGAGTCATAAACGACACCTTTATTGTTATCTTTTTACTGAAATGATAAGATGATAGTTATGATATCTTCTATCTTTTTTACACTCTTAACTTTTTGAAACAATATCAAAATATTTTAAGCTAGATAAGTTTATCCGGCTTGATGGATGTAGTGACATTATATAATCAACGTTGTTTTGGCATACTAAAGCAAGTAGGATCAACTTTTATAAAATGAATCAAGATCATTTGCCTATACTTCACCATTTGAAGAGCGTGAACCGGCATTTAAAATAAAAATAAAAATTCATTTAGTCATTTTACAATATTAGGCATGATTACTAGTCGCAGATGCCTTTGGAAGCGTTTTGAGCCATAACGACATGCTTATCGTGACGTTTGTACTAAAACAACAAGGGAGTCGTTATGACATCTTCTCTCTTTTTTGCCCTTTTAACGTTTCGAAATAATATTATTTGGTAAATAACATTTTTAAGTGAGATATGTTGATCCAACACATCGAATATTTTGACTTTTTGCAATCAAAGTGATTTTATCGTGTAGTAAAGCAAGTTAGAACAACTATAATCGTATGAGACAATTGGGCTAACCAATATTCTAATGCAGAAATATGAATTTCATGTCAAAAAAAGTTTACAAGTTAACTACCTTTGATATGGTTTTTAGGTATATGGTTTTGACATAAATGCTTTTAGTAATAAAACATAAAACGACATGATTTATATCGTTATGACACTATTATATTATCATTATGTTCCTTTATTTTGGCCTTTCAACCTTAAATTTGTGAAAATAACACTTTGACCAGTTTGAAATCGTATTTTGCTCCATTTTGAGTCGTCTAACATGTTAGAGGTGTGTGGATGGGTGCGGTGGTCATAGTAAAGATTTTCGCCATCGATAGAGGTGCTGTTAAGGTCATTTCAATAATTATTTGTACTTTTTCCCCATTTTCTACTGATTTTTTGTTAACATTTTATGTTTGGTACCTTTCTTTTATAGTTGTAGGTGCGTGCATGCGATGAGAGTTGTAATAATGATTTGAACCATATGACTTTTGGAGAAAGATAATTGAGATGTAAAATGTAATATATATCTACATTTATCAACTTGTAAAAATCTTGAACATTGAACATTTCTGTAAAAATTTCAGAATGCAACTGGAATTCAAGTTTAACAACATATATAATAAACTTGTGGATCATCTGAACTACACTTCGGGTACTAATCTCCATCATAATTATTCTTGGCTACAGCAAAGTTCATTTCTAGTCCCTATTCGGTTCAGTTACAAAAGCTAATTAAAATTTTAGTCAAAATTAACAATAAATTTTAATTACACATTTTATGTACCTCACAACATTTCAATCATACATTTCATCAATTTTTATAAAAATCTACTAAAAATCTGGCATCATATGTTATAGAACCAAAAACAATAATTAATAACGGAATGTGAATCAATTGTAACTGCACAAAAATAAACTATGTTACCGGTCGAATATGAAATGTCATGCGGAGGCACCACGATAATACACGTGGAATGCATGAATGGACTGTAAATGAGTAATTCAGTTGAGACTCTCAAAGGGATCAACTGAGGTGCCTCCAAAGCTCAGCCGAAGTGCTTACAAAACCCAAGCCGAGGCTCTCTAAAAGGTGAGCTAAAGTGCCTACCGACGTACCTTCAAAGATGTCCCACGAGGCCCTAAGTGGTCCAGCCGAGGTTCTCAAGAGGCCAGTTGATGTGCCTTCAAAGATGCTACCGAGGCCCTAAGAGGTCATGAAGAAGTGCTTGCGGAGATACCCATAACAATGCTTATAAAACCACCTCATGTTGGGCTTGGACTTAGGCCCGTTAAAGCACTTAGCCCATTTCATTTGTCTATATATAAGAGAATTCACTCAATTTTCAAGGAGGATGAATCTTGGAACCAAGAAAAGAGAGCACAATATATTTATACAAAGTTGTCCACTGTTAACTTTCTTCTTCTACCACAAATATAGGTATTTACAGTCACTCATCGTCTTCGAAAGATGCCTGTTGGCCATTTTTGAAGGTCAACAAAATATGACCGAACAAAAATGAACTGCAACTAAACATAGATAAACTATAACGTGACATCAATCAACTATAACAATAGCAATTACATCATACAACACTCCATATATGATAATTTTCATTTCCAGTCATAACCGCAAATAAACCAACAATAACTACACACAATTCAACTAAAATGACGTTCAAATAAACGATAACAACCGCTTTGCCCTACTTTGACCTTATAGTCACCAATTTCAACACTTATATCTTACTCTAAATAGACAAAAATGTTCAAACAAACAAGTAATTTGACGCGTTGAATTGGAGAAGAAGGATATGCTCAAAAACATAATTCCCAATTAAGCTGATATGAATGAGAAAATGCTAAAAGATCGTGTTAAGGGATAAAAATTTCACATCGATTAAATACCAAAATATTGACCAACTTAAAAAGATCTTGGACTACTCCTCTTAACAATGTTGACCTTATTAAGATGGACCCCAAATCTTAATATGATATTAGAACCCATTAAGTTCCAATGAGCAATTCGATCCGATTAAGACTCTAAAAATAAGCACGCGAATTTCAAGATTGGTCTGCTAAAACGAGTCACCATCTTGCGGGGACATATTAAGGGATAAAAATTTCACATCGATTAAATACCAAAATATTGACCAACTTAAAAAGATCTTGGACTACTCCTCTTAATAAGGTTGATCTTATTAAAATGGATCTCAAATTTTAACAGATCGTGAAATTGTTGTAACGTTTTTCAGGTAAACTTCAAAGCAAATATATATGACAAATAAAGGAAAAAATAGAATAATACCTAAAGTTAAACACCCTAAATAAAACAAGAAGATAAGAAACAAATCGGGGCAAAACTGAATCAAAGGCTTCATTTGAGACATCTTTTCACATCAGTAAATCGTTTATATGTTACACTATGTCACATCATTAAATAGTTTATATCTTCCGTCCCAATCGACTCGTGAACTCAGCCTCGAGTCTAGAAAGAACGATGGTGCCCTGATTTTCGATAATCATTTTTGAATCTTTACTACATATACATTATGGTATACACTTTAGTTTACACTTTGTCACGTGTCATTATCCTATTGGACAGTTTAAATTTCATACAGTTTTTCATCCAATTGATACTTGATAACAATGCAAGTATTAAAAATTAGTGTACAAATAGCAATGTTCATCATTTTTTATGCTAATGATATTTTTAATCATCACGTCAAATGCGCGCGCGCGCGCGCACACACACACACACAAAAATATATATATATATATTTTTTGCTTTCCTTACAGGATATATAGTGGTTCTGGTTTGAACAAGAACCTGCTTTATTTGTCCAAAATTTTATTTTTTCTATGAAAAAAATTACTTATTTTTATTATTATTTTAAATATTTAATCATTTTAAAAATCGTAGTAATTAAAATAATCTATACCAAATATCTAAAATAAAAAAAAAAATATTTGTTTAATAATTTTTATAATTAGTCAATTATACAATTTTCAATTTTTTGAAATGCAAAATCTGGACTGTTTTTCATACGGTCAACTTTCAATCAAACAAGTCCTACTTAACAGATTAATTTGTGATTTCTTAGTGAAATTGTTGAATTTTGAGAGAGAGTAAAAGGAGTACATCTATTGTGATTTATTGCTATATTTAAAGAGAGATTCAGAGAGAGTAGTGATGAGAAATTTGGTTTTCGTTTTGTAATCAAATTTTTGCCTCTTTTTTTTTTTTTTGAGCTTTTACTAGTGGATTCAAGCTTGATCCTAACGGATGCTCAACACGGGGCTAAGAATTAATAGCAATCACTGAACCTCTGGGACTTAAGTCTAAAAAATCTCGTCTTCCTTCTGTTTTTTAAAATTTTTCTATTGGAATTTTATAAGTCGCACAGGTTGAGTCACAAAACTGGGATCAAGACACTTTCGTTACCCATTTTTGGCTGGCAAAAGAATCATGGTCGCCATCTTTATATTTCATTTTTACATACAAAAGGTGTAAAGGAATGGAAATGAAGAAATAGTGAAAAATTATGGCAAAATTAAAAGGGTTATACTACATGTACATTATGATGTCCATAAGAGTATTCATAATGTATAAGTGTCATAACATTATTGGAGAATTGTGGAATTTCACATGTGCATGTAATGTATCTATATATATGTGCAATAAATTCCTAGAAGTAGGACAAATATGTCAGCCTCAATAGCCCCACACGGGTGCACTGATGTCATCTTCTTGGGTTGAGTGCTTTGTTTTTCTCCATATCTAGTTAAGGGCGTCTTCTTCTTTTGACCCAAATCGGCATTCTTCTCTTCATTCGTACAGTAGGGAAATTGTTGACGGAATCATCCTCAGCCACCCATCTACGCAAAAATAAAAATGAGTTAGAATTTCTTTTGCTGCAAATTTTCACCAAAATTACTTTCACGTAACTATAAAAGGCCTAAATTGAAATGAAAAAGTTATCTAAGCTTATTCGTATCTTCGGTCACAAATTGACTCTTCAATTTGGTTGCGTTATAGTGATTTTGTTAAGAGAATCTACTGGCCATAAAGAAATCAAGTTCACATTTAATTCAAGTAAATTAAGTGGAGATAAGCAAATGATATCATGAAAACTCAAAGCTTTTACACACAATAGCATCTAGTGGGATTATAATGTAGACCTATCTAGCATTTAATGTGGATGGGATGCCCCACTACAAACATTTCTAATATAGTGAATAACATTTGATGGCATATCGTTAGATGGATAGAAGTAAATCCATTCTTGATAAAGCAATTTCGTCTGATCAAACTAAATCCGATGAGATGAAAGAAGTAAACCAGCGGGGTACGCAAGGCAAGAAAACTTGTGGAATTCAAATATTAAGTGTTCGGTTCTTTTTTCTAGCTTAAATTTCCTAAGATCATACAACGAGTATGTAATATAAGTTTGTTCCCAATTTACGACTATAATCAATAGTTTTTTTTTCTTATAATGAATTTGAGCTCGACTTTATAATACAAATTTAATCTAGAATGGAGGAGGGCCACGAGGAAATCCGTATCATTGTAAATGTGGGTGGTTTCATCATACTAATGATTTCATCGTTTTGTAAACTGATTGAATTTTTCATGAAATTAATATATAGTATATTTTGCAACTAATCAATATATTTTCAACTTTTTTTCTTTAATTATATTATAGTCAGTGTCGTTGAATCCAATTTACTAAACACTTGAGGGAAATTTGTCAATACCTGAATTGAGTAACAAAATGATGGAGAAAGATGGAAGTTTCCAGCCTGGCCAGGTCAAGTCCAGGGTACAGCATTTGTCCACCTCCAAATGGGGTGAAATTGCAAATAATCATTTCCTTGTCCTTTGATAATCATGTCCCAACAATACAGAATTAATTAAACCAATTTAATATAATTACTTATCCGAAAATAGAATGCGAAAAATATACGCCTAAAGAAAGAATCTTACTTGCCATCTCCATGGATTAAACTGGTAAGGGGAATCATAGTGATCATCATCCAAATGCACTGATCTGAAATATGTTAAAACACACCATCCATTTGTAATGAAATACCCTTTTATTTTTACTTCTTTTGTAGCTTTTCTCATTACCCCAGTGATAACATTTCCCATCACTAAAGTTTCTGTAATCACCTGTCATACAAAACAGTTTCATTCACTCTGTCATTATCAAAATATCGTGTGATACGGGCGCTTGGTAAACACGTTCTTGTACGAGAATAATGCACGTAGTTCACGGATAAAAGTGTATTGTATGTATTTGAAGTGATGAACTTACAGCTTGTCTAAAAGGAAGTGATAAGTAATCGCTCCAAGACAATGTTTGTCCTAGTTTTAGTCTCTTCAATTTCAGGTTCTCCTCTTGTGTCACAATGCGAATTAAGGCCTTATGGGATGGCAAGCATGCTTGGCCCATGTTGACCATTCAAGTATTGGGTAATAATTTGGTTAATTTACTCTTTTCAAATAGCCTGTTCGGTTAATGTGAGAGAAAAAGTCAAAAATTACGACTTCAATAGTAAAATATTAGTCAAAAAATTAATTTTTTGAGGGGTGAAAAATCACTGCCAAACGAGGCCATGAGAATGAGTTTAAAAGTATCGTTAATTGTTGGAGCGCAGCAGGACAATGAGACACGTATCTAATAGCAAGAGTCATTAGGACAGGTACTGAATCTTCACCAGGAATCATCAAATCAATCATATTTTCAGCAATTAGGTCATCTGTCAGTTGTTCACTTGTTTCACTCATCAAAACATCTGCTACATCTTTTGGAGTAAATGGATTGCTCCTCCTTTTTTCTTGGATAATCCTATGAATCATCTGAACCATTTTCTTCTTTGCCTATAAACAAAATTGAATATATGTTCATAATCAGTAACATGTAAAGGGCGCACACAAATTTATCTTGGTTTAACAAAGAGTGTACGAAAGATTTAACGCCTCTCTTGTCACGAATTAGGCTTATTTGAGTGTGTCCAATACATGAGAGTCAGCACTCGCCTGTAACGATCGATAGAGTTGACTACCAAGCAAATTTATTGGTAAAGACATGAGACCCCAATAAATTCTTGAAATTGTTTCTTTAGAAGATGGAGTTGGTAACCCGTATCCAAACCAATCAATGCTTTCACCAATACTTGAAAAGCAGCCTGAAAAATGAAAAAATAAAATTAAAACAATGGAACATAACTGAAGTGGAACTTACAGTAAAGAAATTTTTCCGAAACATAATCATTAATTATTAGGGTTCTTATCTTTCCAGACAACATAAATCATTCCAAAGTTTGATCTTGTAAGAAAACATTATCATGTTTCAAATTATTTTACCAAAAACTGATCTTAAGGCCAAAGAGGAGGTCTTCAAGGCCCTTTTCTCAGCCATCATCCTTTGGATGGTTTTAAAGTCCGACTTCAAGGGCCTCTTCTTGTTGAAGTCGTCTGCAATAAAACACAACGGATCAGTCTATATACACTCCGATCACCATGGTGATAAACAAACTAAAGAACACTCACCTTAGAAGGCCTTCAATTTGTATGCAACGAAGTGAATATTCTTCCTTATCAACTCGTTGTAAGATCTTCTCTTCGAAGGGAGCTGATATACTATGCAGATCGTGTCAAAGTCCTCGATGGATAACTCACATCGAGGAAGAGGACCTGCAAGAACTGATGAGTTATATTACGAATACAAGTAAATATACATTCATAGGCAAAGTGCTATTACTCACTAAATGTGGAGTATTTGGTGGGAACAGTAAGAGGTGCTAGGGAGTCACCCTCTATTGTGTCCCATCTTCCGGAAGCCTAAAACCACGAACTCTTCCATTTCTTGATGGAGCTCAACAGATCGAGCACGAATGGAGTATGAGACCCCCAGGAAGTCAGATAATACTACCCCTTCGTCTTATCACCCCCCGCCACAACCTTGGGTATATACATGTTTTGGAAAACAGAGAAGGGCATCTCCAGCCTCATAGGATGCCTCTTTCTACAGCATCTTCGAACCCACCATCTAGCTGCAGGAGTTCAGATTTAACTGGGTGGGGGCTAAGCCATAGAGCCTTAATATGTATCTAAAAAAGGGGTGAATAGGTAACCTAAGCCCCACCCTTAGGATAGCCTCACTAATAACCACGCATCCCGGCCTCGGGTAATAGACTCGCTCATCCGACCCCGGAAGTATTAAACCCACATTGTCTGGGATTCTATACTTAGTCCTAAGTCTAGCCAGGTCGACTGTTTTCAACTTGGAAGGGTAATCAGACGCTCCCTAGTGTACAGAAGTGTCTACTGGACTGTCAGGTCGCCTCCAAAGGTTTTCTTCCCCAATATTACCTTGGATAGTTCTGAGGAGGTCGCCAAAATGGGTTGGTCTACCCTCACTATCTCCAAATCCCTCCCAGAAGACCCACTACCCTCAGAAGCCATTTTCTCTAGAAGATAATTATGAAAAACTTACTACTTACTGAAATGGGAATAAAGAAGCGCTCCACAACCGAAAAGTCTGAAATTAGTCTAGAAACCGTCGGAAAAGCTTGAATGTCATCGAAAAACCTTACAAAATGTCGAAAATCATAAAGTTATGGGAGTGAGAGAATTTTCAAAAAATGCAAGAATAGAAATCTTGCAAAACACACTAAGTCCTCCTTTTATAGGAGACCTCAGACGATCCCCACCATTGAATTCAAATGATGTCAACATGGGCGTTTGTCGCATCACAAATCTGGATCGTTGAAATGAAACGCCAGATTTAATCAATGCCCAAGATCTGCCTGTGTCCTTCACGCACATGTAAAACGCGTCACCTCGAACAACAACAGCCTTCAACAATAAATAGCCGCCACAGCCCTTTTTTGGGAACAGACATCATATCCAATTATCGCTTTGAAAATACGCGACAGCTATCACATTGATTAACGTCATAATAAGGCACTTTAGATCAAGGTCCTCAGCTTTCTTAAGGCTCCTCGCATCATGCGCACAAGCTTTACGTAGCTATGACCATCTCTCAATGCGTCGTCCCATGTGGTTCAGTGCATCGGTGGCAGGTGAGTCCCTTACTCAACTTTATTCTCGACGCACCTAAAGCGGAGTCCCCTATGGGTCATTGCCTCGATCGCTGCGTCACCAAACTTTACAGAGCTATGACCATCTCCTAACGCGTCATCTTTTGTGGGTCAGTGTATCGGTGGCAAATGAGCCCTTCACTCAACTTTATTCTCGACGCACCTGAAGCGGAGTCCCCCATGGGTCATCGCCTCGGTCGCTGTGTCACCAAGCTTTACAGAGCTATGACCATCTCTTAAAGTGTCGTCTCCTGTGGGTCAGCGCATCGATAGCTGATGAGCACCTCATTCAACTTTATTCTCGACGCTCCTGAAGTGGAGTCGCCTGTGGGTCATCACCTCGGTCGCGGCATCACCAAGCTTTATAGAGCTATGACCATCTCCCATGCGTCATTCTCTGTGGGTTAGGGCATCAGTGTAGAAAATCTCACTCAACTTTACATTCTTGACACACCTGAAGCGGAGTCCCATGTGGGTCATCGTCTTGATCGCTGCTTCACCAAGCTTTACAGAGCTTTGGCCACCTCCCAATGCATTGTGTACAGCGGGACCACGCAGCGGCTGCAGATGAGTTTCTTCCACATGCTGCATCATAGCTCATACGCCTCGAGCAAAAGCTAGTTGCCCTCCACAAATCAATGAATAATCGACCAAGGGGAGCCCCTATCCCACATCGCATACATTCCAGCTACAAAGCCTTCGGCACATCTACTCACTTCGCCCTTTGGCATTAACACTTCATCAGATACTGCGAGGCTCCCCTAAGGTCAGCATAATCGGACAAACAAGTCCACCTATGATATTAATATTCATGGCTACACTTGGGGGGCCACTGTTACGCCCCTCATCAAACCACTTCGGCTCGTTAGATCCACTCCTCCGCGAGACTCCACGTGTCACTACGAAGTGGTTTCGAAGCAACCTCAACCCCCGACCGAACTCCAGCTTGACACGCTACAAGGCACACGTCACAAACTAAACCTAACAATCGATTGACCGAAGCGCTCCCTAAAATTGAAGCGTTGGCACTCCGAGGTGCTCCCTTAAAGGATATCTCCACCACCAGTTATAGAAGCTTATATGTGCCAGGACCCTCCACGGAGGTGACATCTACATGGCACTAGTTGATGTGACATATCCACTTTATGTCAACTCAACTCAGGAAAATTAATTACCCACCCACTCTAGACGCAGCTGCTTGATGCCTACAAACAGACGTCTTACACCATCAGATGTATACTATAGTCCTACATCCAACGGTGCTCCTTATCTATAAGTACCCAAGGTTTGGTAAGAGATAGAGATAATGAAATTGATACTAGATTTAACTCTCCACACAAAAAATGTTTATTTTCCTCCCCACTCTCTTGCACGATTCGAGCACTGTTCCGATCACCGACTACTAACTTGATTGTCGGAGTGTATGCAGTCGCTACCATCACTGTTGATTCCGACCGTGTGCTTCTGATAGTTCGTTATTGTGCACAGAGAGGATTACGTAGAGTAGCTATCGATTGGCCATGTGGAGAGTCCATTTTGTGAGGTCAACATTTATAAAAATGAAACATTTTAAATATTAATTGTTGAGGGACCATCCATCTATGTGCATTTTCGTGGCTCAAGAATTTGAACCAATAGAGAGTGGATGGTGGTTGGAAGGCTCATCAAATTTCGCCATGTACTAAATTAATAAAGTATGATTATTGAAAGCGTGGTTTAGGGATGGAATGGTTACCAAATAAACAATATCTTGAATTAAGATATGCTGGTTAGGATGGTGACTGAGATTCATGAGCGATAAATGTAATGTTGTTCATGCGATATAAGATATTTACTATAATGTATAATCATGTAAATTAGAGACGAAGCTAGGAGCGAAAAAATATATATATAAATTATACTGATTTGATACATTGAAAAAAAAATCCACTAAAAAAAGAATTTTCATTAAAAAAACTTTATTTTCTTTATAAAAATAAATGAGCCTGAGGCAGGCTCTAGGCCCTCTTCCCTCTACCCCCAATGTAAATCATCACCTAGTGCGATTAAATCGATAAACATATTGAACAGAATTTATAGTTTATTAAAAAAAAATTGAACAATTGTTTTTTAGGATAGAAGAGATTTCGTTCTAAATACATTCGTTACAGTGGTATTGGTTTTGCTTTGTACAACAAACTTCAAATCGAAATTAAGAAATGCTTAAGTTCAGGATACAAATTTCGAGAAAAATCTGAAAATTAAATTATAATTGGGGCAAAAAAAAAAAGTACCCTATGTAGTCTTTGAACGTGGTCACTCGTTTAAAGATCATGGTTTTTCAAAGGGTTGCAATTTGACAAGATAGGTAGGGTTGTTTTATAAAAATATGCAAGAAATGGTACAAATATTAAAACAAGAGACAACTCTTATGTTAAGTGATTTTTCGAG